TAGGAAAATTGTGCATTTTTGTAATCGGCCTTGGTCCTCTTGAATGCAACAGTGAATTGTAATTAGGGGTCAAGTGTGAGTTCAGGTGGAACATTAATAATGCTGGGAACAATCTTGCAGTTTTAGACACTGATCAAACTTAGCTCCATGTTCTGCTAACTTTCTTTCAGTTGCTAAATGCACAGGAAGGAATCAAATATGAGTCACAGTTCCCCAATTCTAAATGTGTTTGCGCAGAAACGGCAAGACCAGGGAGACTTTCACTATCACACAATCACAATTTACCATCAGCCAGCATGTTGGACAAAAAAGATAAAAAATAGGGAAAAAAATCAGGGCAACAACATTAAATAAGGACTAAACAAAGCAAAGCAATGCATCTACTGTTATGACAACCAAGTGATTAAGGTTGTAATCTCAATCCCCCATCCAGCCCCTATCAGTTTCCTGCGCAAACACCATGCATGCTCCTGTTTTCGCTTTGTTTCTCTTCCTCCACCGGCTCTCTCCTGCGCCGAAGGAATTTGGGAAGGAATGCAAAAAAAGCATCCTGTTTTCATTCCTCATTCTTAGTCAGCTATTCACACTCTGGGAGATCTGGGCGCTCTCGGTGACGTAAGGGGCAAATGACTAGATGAACTAATGGAGGCACAGGTGCACGCTGTCACTGAATGGCCCAGTTTGTTACTCATCCTTCAGTCTCCTCTGGTCTTGCACAACCACAGACTCCATCCAGTGTCAGCACAGGTTACAAAAACCAGCAAAACAACATCCCATTAATCTGTGATTGTCTTTGAATGCCTCGCTCATTGTTATTATCTGTCATGCTTTAAAAACTTCACCTACAACCCAGGATGTCCTGCAGATAATAGGAAGCCAAAAGTCACCGGCGTCCTCTATAAACAAAAATCTAAGCTCACGTCCCTCTTTGAGAACAGCCTATCTAAAGTAAACATCAGCTTATGGAGCGACACGGGACAGACTCCCCGCCGTGCAGAGATAACAGCACGTTACACTAGAGACAAAGGAATCCTGTCCAGTGACCACACACTGCTTTTTATTTTGCTGTTTCTGGCCCTCAGCAGGTTCACTGTGTGCCCGTTCTGTAGTTAAATGTCAAGCACGTCTTCAGAGTAGATGCATTTTGCACAGTCAGGCTGGAATGGTTCATGTGTTTCATGGTTGGTGACATATTTGTTGCATTGATTATAATAAAGATGTTGTGATCGAGCCTCTCTGTCAGCTGGACGGGGAGAAAAAAACAGTTGTTGGTGGAGGTAAAGCAATTTATTGCTCAGTCACGTAAATGAACACAAAACAACTGATGATACAAAGAAAACGAGCGGATGTTGCTAAAATCAATGAACCAAATTAAAACCAAACTTAAATACAACAGCAACACCCACAACTAACAAATAAACTAAAACAAGTGAAGAGTTCGTTTGCAAAAAAACTCCATTTTTATAGATTTTCAGAAAACTTTTTTGCTGTTGTTTGCTTGAGATAATATCAGTCAAACTGAAGCTGAGTGGATTTGACAAAAATAGAGATAACTTAAGTTTGTTTGATGTTGTCTCAGGTAGACGATGGAAAAGTGGGTTTTCTGAAGGTTGGTGAAGATGGAGTTTTCTGTTTTTGCAAATGAACTCTTCAGGTACCTCCAAAACACACATCAAACAAAAGAGCACACAAGTACTGAGTTGGTCAGCTGCTAACTGAAGCCACAGTCTTCAACAAGACACGAGTA